GTTTCTGTTAACCAAAGTCAACTGTGGTCCACAATTGTTAAATAGACAACTCATAAGTTTTAATTTGTGCTGCTCTGTCCCACCTGGGACATGAAATATCTGTCTGGTGTAATTTTTTTTTTTTTTTCTTAAGACATAGTCTCACCCTGTTGCCCATGCTGGCCTCAAACTCCAGGCCTCAAGCGATCCTTCTGCCTTGGCCTCCCAAAGTGCTAGGATTACAGGCCTGAGCCACCATGCCTGGCTCTCTGTTAAGAATGTGTATACCACATTTTTTGTCCATTCTTCTAGCAATGGACACTTAGTCTGTTATTATATTGTGGCTATTGGGAATGATGCTGCAGTGAGCATGGGAGTGCAGCTCTCTCTTCAAGATACTGATTTCATTTCCTTTTGCTGTATACCCAGAAGTGGCATTGCCACATCATATGGTAGTTCTGTTTTTAATTTTTTGAGGAACTACCATACTGTTTTCCATAAAAGCTACACTAATTTCCATTCCCACCAACAGTTCACAAGCGTTCTGTGAGGACCTCAGGGAGCTGTCACTCATGGGGGAAGGTGAAGGGGAGCAGTGTCACATGGCAGGAGGAAGGACACGAGAGGAGGAGGCTGTCTAGTGCAGACGGATCTGCCTCCCTCCTTGTGGCTGTGTAGCGGGTGGTTTCCTGTTTTCACTCCCACTGACATTGCTTCAAGAACATGAGCATACCTCTGTGCATAGTCATGCAAGTGCCTCTGATGAATAAATCCCTACACGTGGAATTATGTCTTTAAAATAATAGAGGTCATGTCTGTTTCCACAGCCATCATCAGGATAATGTGAGTGCCTGCCCCCGAGGTCCATATATTTTAGCCTTTGCCAAGCTCTGGGTGCAAATGTTTTTCCAATTGAATTTGCATTTCTTTTATTATGACAGAAGTTGTGCCTCTTTTCAAACACTTATTGGCCATTCGTGTGTGTGTGTGTGTGTGTGTGTGTGTGTGTGTGTGTGTTTGTGCACGTGTGTGTTTTCTGTGACCCATCTGCTCCCTTTCTCTATTGTTCATCTCTATATTGATTGACTGTTTTAAATCTTTTAAATGTGGAGAATTTCAAACACACCAGAGCAGAGAGGATGGCACAGTGAGTCCCCGAGCCAGCCTCGGTGCTGGCTGGTCTGTCTCTGTCGCCCCATCTCCTTGCACATCCACTCCACCAGTTTGCTCGGAAGCAGATGCCAGACACCTCATTTTGCCTGTAAATGTTTCTATGTATATCTCTAAAAGATAAGGGTGCCACAAAAACAACAGGACCATTATTACACCTAAAATTATGAACAAATACTCCTTTGTATCATCACACAGCCAGTGCATGTTCACACATTAGGTCCATGCATTGTAAATGGTTGAAAAGTCTCTTTAGTTCTTGTTTTTTTTAACAGCTTTATTGAGCTATCCACATGCCACACAATTCACCTACTTTAAGTGTACAGTTCAATGTTTTGTTTTAATCATATTCACAGAGTTGTGCAACCATTGCCACAATCTAACTTCAGAATATTTTTGTCCCTGCTGAAAGAAACCCCATACCCATCAGCTGTCACTCCCCAACCCCCTCCAACCAGGCCCCCAGCTCCTGGCAACTGCTCATCTACTTTTGGTCTCTATAGACTGGCTGATTCTGGACATTTCATGCAAATGGAGTTATATAATGTCTCCTTTTCTGCCTGGCTTCTTTCACTGAGCATAATATTTTCTAAGTTCGTCTGTGTTATAGCTTGTGTCTACTTCACTTGTTTGTATTGCCAAATAATATCCCATTGTATATATGTACCACATTTTACCTGTTTATCCATCAGTGGATGAAATTCGGGTTGTTTCCCACATCTGGGCTTTTCTGGATAATGCTGCTAAAACCATTAGTGTATAAGTCCTAAGTCTCATTTTAATCTATAAGATTGTCTTCTTTTTTTGTTGTTGTTGTAATTTATTCAATGAGAAAACTGGTTTTTTTGTCTTAATAGAGTTTCCACAGTATGGATGTTGCTGCTCTTATCACTTGTGGTGTCATTTAATATTTTCATGTGCCATTGGGTTTCCTCTGAATTAATATTGAGATCTAGAGGCCCGGTCAGATACAGGCTCAAATTGTTTTAGCAGTGATCCTTGATAGGGTTGTTTTGTTCTTTTATCAGGAGGCCCACAGTGTCTGGGTATCCATTTGTGATGTTAGTAGGCAGTACCTTTGCCTAGCTCCATTAATTCACTAACAGTGAATTAATTTCCCAAGAAATTAATATGAAATCTTTTTTGCATTATAGTTTCAAATTCATTACTGCTTGTGTATAGGAAAATGATGTGTTCGTAAGTATGTAGTATATTTTAACAAGCTACCTTATTATACTTTCCCTGTAAGTTCTTATGGTTTCTCCTAAGAGTCTCTAGAACTTTCTAGCTATTTATGCCATATGCCAATTAGTGTTTCTGACAGACACTCCTTTCTTTTTCTTGCTGCATTTCATTGGCCAGGACTACAGAACATCCCAGTCAGCAGTGGGAGTGAGGGAGCCCCTCGCTACGGGAATCCTTCCAGAGATGTTTACGCCCACCCAGACATGGACGTGCACTTGTTTCTCTCTGGTGTTACACTTTGGGGACAGTCAGATCCATGCCTCCCTTGGTTGTCCTAGAGACCACACTTAGCCATGACACCATGGGCTCCGCGCTCAGGGACCATAAGGGCGGTCAGCTGTGCTGGAGCCACATCAGCTGAAAATAATGCAGGACTGGTCTTTTCTGTGTGCAGAGGAAGTGCGCTGAGGCTGGGCTAGAATGAGGCCAGGCTAAAATGAGGTGTAGAAATCGCACGAGGATGCAGGGGGCCTGACCAGGTCTGTCAGTCACAGTACCTCTGGGCGCTGCCCACAACGCTGTCAGAGCACTTGTCTGCCTGAGTTTATTTCCTCCAAGGGCACATGCTAGCATGTAGGGTCTGCTCTGGCAATGAAGATGCCCAGGCTCTGCCCTGAAGAGGTGAGGCCAACCTGGGGGAAAAGTTGGTTATGAGCATTTTAAGGGTATTGTCATTTTTTTAAAGATGGGGAAAAGGGCTTTCTCCTCTGTTCCCAAGGTTTCCCCCCTCCTTTTTGAAGCAGAATTGCAGAGCAGCTCCCAAGGGCAGAAACCCAGCCTGCACAAAGAGCAGCAGGTTGTGGGAGGTGGGAGAGTTAGAGGAGACTGCAACCAAAGCTGTCCCAGAGGCTCCAGGCACTGGAGAGCACCTTTTTCCTGTCTGCCAAATGCCAGACTAGAGGGCCACCAGCAGTGGTGAGTCCCATTGTCAGAACACAGCTTGCGATCCTCTGGGAGAGGGGAGAGGTGGGGCCGGCCAGGGCTGCTGGAGGTCTCAGGGGGCCTTTCCATCCCCCATACCCAGCCTGAGCTCAGCAGAAAGCAAGCTAGGAGAGTCTGGATGTTTGGAGAGACATGGAGGGATAATCAGGTGTCAGGAGGGCAGGTGGGTTAAACGGTGAGGGGGAGCATGGAGTGAGAGTGGACATGAGGCCAGAGAGAGACACTCAACCCAGCTGGAGACATGACTGGCAGATGCCAGCCACAGCCTCAGCCACTTAATGTTCACAGGCTGTCGCTCCATGAATTAGTATTAAACGTGTTTGGGGACAGGATCTGTCTTAGGAGTTTTACAGATCTTTGCCCTGAAGGCATAGGTGAATGTGTTGGTTTGCATTTCGAATGCTGTTACACTCGGAAGGGCGTCTCTGAAAGGCAGTAGCGGCTGTATCCCACGAGGCGCCGCGTTTCTCAGACCTAAAGGATTGGATTTGCTTTGTAAAGCACAAGCGAATCTGTTAAAAACTATAGGCTGAAAGCTGACAATGGAGTGCCCTCCGGAACAAACAGCTTCCCAGAAAGGATAGCTTCCTAAATGGCCAAAAGCAAAGCTTTTGTTTAAACCACTCTAGACTACCTGTCTCCATTCACAATAACCTAATAAACATGGAGCTTACATATCTCTGTTTAACCCCTCTGTTTAAATGATAAACTTACCTTAGAATTTAGAAATTAACCTTGAAAGACTTTGTAACCGTTTGCTCATGTAAATAGAATTAGTTAAAGAATCTGTAGAACGCTTCTGTAAAAGCCTTTTGAAAATCTGTTAACCTGAGAGATACTACCTGTTGTTATGTAAATTTGTTACCCCTGACAATTGTTCACTATTTCCTATAAGTTACCATGTAAGACCTCATTCGGGGCTTTTTGAGACCAACGGAGAGGTCCGAGCCCCCTGAGCTCCCGCTTTGCCTATAATCTTTATAAACTTATAAAACTATATCTTTGTCTCAGTGTATTCTTTTATTTCTTCCATTTTCCATTTCTCTCTATTATTTTCTTATCCCTTGCAACTCTGCCAAAGGGACCCGGTTTTTTGCAGGGAACACTGGCCACGTTCCCCGCAACAGGCCATCAGGCAGCATCTGGACAGTTGGTCAGACCACCAAACAGACACACAGGCCCATGCCCAGACAGACTTCCAGACAGATGGACAGAATCCCAGGGAAACAACTCCTAGCTAGACAGACAGCCAGGAAAATGGACAGATCCTTGGACAGATGGGCAGACCCCTAGCCACACATCCAGATAGACCTGTGACCAGAGGGACATGTGAAAACCTGCCGCCAGTTGGAAGGTAGATCCCAGCCAAGCAGAAGTCAGAACCCCTCAAGGACGACCCCTTCCCACAAATGGACAAAGACCTTACCCCAGTGAAGAGACACTCCAGCCAGCCAGCAAGACCTTCATCTGGACAGACAGACTTACCCTCCACCAGTAAGATAGGTCTTGGCCTATGAGAAAGACAGGCCCTCAGCAGGGTGTCCTGCTGAACAGGCATCCACCACACCCCCGCTCAGACAGATGGAGGCTCAGCCCCTAGTTGGACAGCAGATGCCCAGCTAGCCAGATGCCCCAGTCACTAGTCAGCGTCCCTGCCCACCACCATGAAGGACCCAGTGACTGAACCCTCAGTGTTGCCACTGCTCCCAGGTACCACCTAGTCTCCAGTGACCATCAACCTCAGGTGACATGCCATGACAGTCTACAGAGACTGTCCATGATCCCTCGGTGCTCTAGCACCCACTAGCCTACAATGACTGCCATTAGCAACAGCCAGTATTCTGGGACTCGGCATCCATATTTTCTCACAGCTCACTGACACTTCTGTATTCTGCCCTCTGCGTCTCCAACAACCCATGTCCATTCACGAAACCTCAACAAGTCCACTGACACTCACTGTCGTGCACTGACTAGGAGCAATGTACTTCCTCAGTGACTTCCCTGACTCTTCTGACCCTTCACCTATTAACACTGCAAATCCCAACAGCTCCTCAGTTACTTTCACTGACACCCCCGCCCCATGAACATCGAGGGGACTCTGGCTGACCACCAGTGACTTCACTGTCATCATTCATCCTCAGTGGTCACTACTGACTCCCCCTCCCAGAACCCTCAAAGATGAAACTGGTAAATGATAAGCCCTGATTCCACAGTGACCCCCCCCCAACAGGGGCTCCTCCATGAAGGAAACACCTTAGCCACTTATCCCCACTGGCCCACTGTGAGCTGTCAACCATGTAAGCCAGGGTCAAATTATAGCCTGCAGGCCACAAAAAGAATATTTTGGGGGCCGGGCGTGGTGGCTCACGCCTGTAATCCTAGCTCTCTGGGAGGCCGAGGCGGGCGGATTGTTTGAGCTCAGGAGTTCGAAACCAGCCTGAGCAAGAGCGAGACCCTGTCTCTACTAAAAATACAAAGAAATTAATTGGACAACTAAAAATATATAGAAAAAATTAGCTGGGCATGGTGGCACGTACCTGTAGTCCCAGCTACTCGGAAGGCTGAGGCAGGAGGATTGCTTGAGCCCAGGAGTTTGAGGTTGCTGTGAGCGAGGATGACGCCACGGCACTCTAGCCCGGGCAACACAGTGAGACTCTGTCTCAAAAAAAAAAAAGAATATTTTGTGGTGCATGAAAATTACATGAGATTCTAATTTCAGTGTCCATAAATAGTTTCATTGGAATTCAGCTACACACATCTGTTTATATGTTACTTGTTTATGGCTGTGTTCACGCTGCCACCTCTCCCAGTTAAGTAGCTGGGACAGAGGCCAGAGACAGCAACGCCAAATCCACTTCCTATCTAGCCCATCCCTGACTGAAACACTCTGATGACCCCTAATGAGTTAAATTGACAACCTGATATCAGTGACAAAGCACACACCCAGCCCCCAGTGTTACCTTTCAACACCTCAACGACCTCAAACTGTTCACTGACGCTGTCTCCAATGCCGCCCCTCGAAATTCTTCGTGGCCTCGGTGAGAGGGGGGTAACCCACCTACGCAGGCCTGTACTTGATGGGCCCCTAGGTGCCGGTCCACTCGCTCCAGCCTGCCCTCCGTGATCCCGGGGGCTGGGACAGCAGCTCTTCTCTGACCTCCTGCACATTTTCTGAAGATGGTGTGGAGACAGGGAAAAAGAGAGAGAGCTCTTTCAAAGCGTTGAGAACACCTTTCCCCCAGAATCCCCTTCCAGCACCTCAATTCTGTTTCCCAGCAGGTTTATTCGTGTGGAGATCCTCAAATTAGCATTGATCCTAGCGCCCTCAACGCTTCCCAGCCCGTCTCGGAAAAAGAACCTCCGGAAATTACAGATCCAGAAGCTCCGCTCCCACGCGGCCTTTCCCACGTCGCGGGCGCCCGGGCGTCAGTTTTCCCCGCGGCTAGCTCTCCCCGACTCCCTTGGACCCGGCTGGAGCGCACAGCGCGGGACGCCTCCACCTGGGGCCCCCCGGGCAGGAGGAGCAGGCTGATCTCGGGGACCGTCCCCACCGACCGTTCCCCCAACACACACCAACCCCACGTCCGGCCCCGGGCTCGGACCCGGACGCAGCCTGGAGGCACCTGGAGAGCAGCCCAGGGCGCGGATCCCAAATTAGGGGTGGGTCCAAAAGGTAGGCAGTGTCCGCGGAACTGTGCGGACTCAACCCGCAGGCCCGGCAGCCAAGAAAAAAGAAAGCGAAGCGCCAGCGCTGGACTCATTCTCCGCCCCAGCCCCCAGGACCGCGCGCTCCGCAGCCGGCTTGGCGGGAGCACCCCGGGCGGGCGTGTTCCGAACGCGCTTGGCCGAGGGGCGGCCGAGTCGGCCGCTACGTGCCCCCACTGGCTGGCGACGACCGGGGCGGAGTCTCCCCGCTGGCTGCTGCCTCCGCGGAGTCTACACTCGCTGGAAGGCTGAGCGCCGCGGCTGGCCCGCACCTCTAGGGCCGGAGGCGCCACGAGCCGCAGCGCGGACGCGGCGCGGAGCTTCCTGGAGCAGCTAACGGCGCGGGGCGGCCGGGAGGGCGCGGTCTTCGCCAGCGAGTTCAGCGCGAGTGGGCGAGTGTGGTCAGCTGCGCGGCGCGCTCGGCTCCGCGCCTTGGACAGTCCCGACGTCCGTCCTCCCTCCTGTGCGCCCTGCGGGCTATCTCTGTCTCGGTGTCCCAGGGCGTCTTCCCGTTCGGGGGTCTCTCGGCTCTTCTCTCCCAGCACCCCTCTGTCGCGCTCTCGCGCCCTCTCGGTCTTCACCCGCTGCCCCTAGGCCCCGGAGGGCGAAGTCCACGCCAGGCTGGGACAGGCCGTGCACACACCCTCGAGTCCCGGAACAAGCCTGCCGCCGGGTGGAGCGGGCAAGGCGGGCGGCACACCCACGCTGGACCTCCCGGGCGACCTGGCTGTCACCTCTGTGATCCCAGAGAGGAAGGGGCCGGGAGCGGTGCGGAGGCACCCTCGAATCAGCTTACAGGCCTTTCTGTGCTATGGTGTTGGGTGGTTGACCTGGCCCTCTGGCTTCGGTTTTTTCTTTGGTGACATGGGAACGTTAATGACCAAACTAGCTTGAGGAATAAATGATGTGGATAAAAGCACTCAGCACACCTTGGGCGCTCGCTTTGTGGAGGCCCTTGTCACTGCTTATGAAGATTCTAAACATTACAACAGGAGCAGTGCAAGCGCGGCGCGGTAGGCACGGCACATTACAGGTAATAAAAGTACCAAATTTAGAAACAATATGCAAATATGTAAACAGTATATGGTGGCATATATGGAATAATATGTGGCATATAAACATAAAAATAAGTATGATTATAAATGACAATTTACATAAAAATATAACTTCTTAAAACAAATGTAACGGATAAAATTATAATTTATAAAATGTGATTCAAAAAATTTGTAAGTAAATATAAAATATGTAACAGATACGTATAAAATAAATCTAAATAATTTACACACATGTAGAAATATTGTAGCATATAAGAAATTAAATAAGAAATGCATAACAAATGTAAAATAAATAATTTACGCAATATGAAAATGTACATAACGTGAACATATAATGACCATGTGCTACATGACGTCACGCAGGTCAGTGACTTGACTCTGTGGTCCCGGCGGGCGACAGAGTTGGGGCCCTGCGCTCGGCCCGCAGCGAGGACGCCCCTGCCGCCCTGGCCGCCGCCTGCACTCACGGGAACCGCAGGGCTTCTCCGGGTAGAAACACCGACGTCGGCACCCGCTACACCACGGTGTGCAGGACTAAAGTGACCGGTGGGCGTAAGTAAAGCACTTAGCGTTGTGGCTCACACAGGACGTTGGCGTGGGAGGTGTTACTTACTGTGATTAGGAATGCCTGATGATGACGGTAACACGCTATTCACTAATGATAATAATCTATGAGTAATAAAGGACCTATAGTATCTTGTTACCTTCAGCAAGTCGCTCAACCATGCGGTGCGTCAACTTTCTCACCTGCATAACGGGGGTCCCCACTTCCCCGGGACCTTGTGATGCTTAAATGCCTTTAGCACAGCGCCTGGCACAGAGAAGGTGCTCTGGGTAGCTGTTATTATTTTATCATTATTGTATCAAAATTACTAAGCAGGCCCTGTGTTTCTGGGGGTCTTCAGTCACCTCCCCGGGGCCACTTGCCTTGCACCCTCTGAGTGCCTCGGGGTGCCTAGTCTCTGACCAGGCTCCTCTCTTCCCCTCTCCTGCCTTCTCGGGGCCTCCCACCAGGACATCAAGGCCCGCTCCGCCAAGGGCCTGTACTCCACCCAGGCGGCAGCTGGCCTGGGAACGTGACAAAGAGGTGCTATAAAGATGTGCTGCCATGTAAGTTGGGGGGCTTCCGTGGGGAGTAGGGCAGCAGTCGGGCGGCTGGCGCACCCCTGCGTCACCTACTGCGCTCCCGGGACGCCCTCCCTCCCAGAGCCTGGCCCTGGCTGCAGGGCTCCCCGGCAGCCCACAAGGGCGCCTCTGTGTGTGGCCCCCTTGTCGGGCCTCGACAACCCTGTCACCCCCAAACTCCCCGTTTCTCACCTCACCTGCTGGCAGATGATCAGACACGAGTGATCCTCTCCCTGCTCCAGGAGTGACACGGGGACTACATCAATGGCAACTTCATCCGGGTCAGGCTTGGGGTCCGGGAAGAGTCTGACTGGGGGTGGTGGGGTTGGGCAGCACCATCGAAGTAGGAAGGCGGCTTTCACCAGGGCATAGGCGGAAGCCAGGCCCACATCGCCATGCAAGGACCCCTGCGACACACCCTGCTAGACTTCTGGCGGCTGATCTGGAGTCTGGGGTCAAGCTTTCAGGCAAGGGTAGGGTGAAGTGGAGCCAACATTCTGAGGATTCCCCCAACCCTGCTTCCCTGGCCCCCTGACCCAAATCACCTCCCTCTCCTCTCACCCCTCTTGTCTCGGTGATCCTGACGGCATGCAGAGAGACAGAGAATGGGCGGGTAGGTGTCCTCGGGCCCCCACAATGCATGTCCTTGTGCAGGGAGGAGGGGGGAGGAATCTTGCTAGCTCCTCCCTGACCCCAGAACCCAAGGGTACAGTTCTTGGAGTGACCTAACTGTGGCTCTGTGGAAAGCCCCACTGTTCCCCTTTTTAATTTTTTGTTGATCTTTTTTCTTTTATTCATGGGGCTCACTCCACCCCCCATTGGCAACGCTCTCCTGCTGTGCTTCCCACCCATTTCACAGCATAGGCCATGAGCCCTATAGTGACTGCATCCCCGTACAGCTCTGATCGCTCCTTCTCCCTGTCTGTCCTTAATTCACTCCACTCTAACAACTCTGGCCTCTGCTACTCCACAGATGTTATTTCTGATTTGGTAATTTGTGTTTTCTCTTTCTCCTCCTCAACCCCCCAGTCAGTCTGGCTAGAGTAAAGAAGGATAAATTGCAGTTATTGTACTAAATCCATCCTGCTGCCTGTTTTTGTAAATAAAATGTTTTGGAACACAGCCACACTATTTATGTATTGTCTATGCCTGCTTTCATGCTACAATGGCAGAGTTTAGTAGTTGCAAGTTTAGTAGATTGTGTGGCCCTCAAATTCTAAAATATTTTTTATCTGACCCTTTATAGAAAATGTTCACCAACCCCTGAGATAGTTTATCATTTTATTCTTTCTTCAAAGAATCAGCTTTGAGTTTTATTCATTTTCCCCATTGTTTTTGCATTTTCTAGTTCAATCATTTTCTCTCTTTATTATTTCCTTACTTCTGGTTATTTGTGTTTAATTGGCTCTTCTTTTTCCAGTTGCTTAAGGCAGAAGCTTAGATCATTGATTTGAGGTTTTTCTTTTTTCATATGTGAGGACTTAATGTGTATTTTCTCTAAGCACTGCTTTAGCTGCATCCCACAAACTTGATAAGTTGTGTCTTCTGTTCCAATTAGTTCAAAGTACTCTTTTAATTTCCTTAGTGATTTCTTCTTTGATCCATGGTATTTTACCATGGTTGTTTAGTTTCCAAATATTTGGGGACTTTTCCATATAACTTTTGCTGATGGATTTCTAATTAAGTCTATTGTGGTCAAAAAATAAGTTTGTGTGATTTCAGTCCTTTAAATGTACCGAAATTTGTTTTATGACAATGAATATAGTCTATTTTGGTAAATGTTCTGTGTGCATTTGAAAAAAATGTGTATTCTGCTTTTATTGGGTGGAATGTTCTCTAAATACCAGTTAGGTCAAATTGATAGTCTTTTTTGAAAGACACTTTATATCTTTATGGTATTTTTAATCTTTACTGATTTAATTTCTCTAAATGTTCTATGAATTGCTGAGAGAGGAGTGTTGAGATCTCCAACTGTTCAATAAATGCCAATTAGGTCAAGTTTTTCAACAGTGTTATTCAACTCTTATTATTCTTATGATTTTTTTTTTTTTGGTCTATTTTCCCTATTATTTTCTTAAAGAGTAATGTTGAAATTACCAACTGTAATTGTAGATTTGTCTATTTCTCCTTTAAGTTCTGTCAGTTTTTGCTTCAGGTATTTTAAAACTCTATAATTGAGTGCCTGTACGTTTAGGATTATGTCTTCCTGATGATTGGTTTCCTTTTTCAATATGTAATGTCCCTTTTTATTTTTGTTACTATTCCTTTTTCTAAAGTGTACTTTGATATTAATGTAGCCATTTACATTTCTTTAGAGTTTGGATGCTATGTCTTTTCCCATTCTTTTACTTTATATCTGTGTTCACCTTTATTTTTAAGTGTTTCTTGTGGCTGGCATATTGTAGGGACTTACTTTTTAAATCTAATCTGACAATCTCTGCCTTTAATTGGAACATTTAGTCTCCAATGTAATTATCAATAATATTGGGTTTAAATCTACCATCTTGCTATTCGTTTTCTATTTGTTCTATGTGTTCTTTGTTCTTCTTTTTTTCTGTCTTCTTTCAGATTGAGAATTTTTCATGAGTCTGTTTCATGGTCCTTATTCCCTTATTAGCTATACCTCTTAATTTTAAATGTTTAGTGGTGGCTTTAGGGTTTCCAATATATATCTTTAACTTATCATAGTCTATATTCAAATAATATTATACATTTCACATAAAATATAAGAACTTTACAATAGTATATTTCAATTTCCTCTTCCCAAGCTTTAGTCTATTGTTGCTATATAGTTTAATTCTAAATAAGAACTATATAATATACTGCTATTAATTTTGCTTTAGTTTATCTTTTTAAATGGCTTTATTGAGATGCAATCTAGCCATTTAAAGTATACAATTCAATTGTTTTTAGTATATTCCTGAGTTATGCAAAACCATAACCAAAATAAATTTTAGAACATTTTCATCACCCCATAAAGAAACCCTGTATTGTTGTTATTATTATTTTTATTATTAGCAGTCACTTCCCATTTCTCACCAACCTCTAGGCAATCCCTAATCTACTTCTTGTCTCTGTAGATTTGCCTACTCTGGACATTTCACATAAATGGAATTGTGTAATACGTGGTCTTTCATGACTGGCTTTTTTCACTCAGCATGTTTTTGATGCTCATGCATGTTATAGCCCGTATCAATACTTCAC